GTTGCTTTGATTTTGGTTTGCGTTCATGAATAGCAGAATAGCAAAACAACAAATCCCTAGAGAGTATTCAGAAAAGTGATAGCATATTCGCTGAATATTTATGTTACTTATGTATGTACATATGTATTCTTGTGGAAACTGTAAGTATGATATGTAACAGATTGTAACACGGGCCTGGCCGTTAGGTGGTCAACAGAAGAACATTAAGTGAAAATAATATCACAGGAAAAATAATACTAATGAATTTACATACATATTTACATATGTATATGTAACTACTATGGCCAACGATGCCTGCCTCTGTGTCTGAGGCGCTATTCCCCTGCCACCAAAGTGGATAAGCGACTCTGTCCACGGAGTCCAAAAAGATGACTGCACCAGGTCCGGTCCCTTCCCTCTGCTGTCACTTAGTCAACTGTCTGCGCTCGTTGCCGTTCCCGGTCCTCATTAATGTTTCAAGTGTTTTATGATATGCATAATTGCTTGTACAGATAATAAAGTTTTCCTCTGTCCGGACAAGACCCCAGATGCCAGCCAGTGGCCACCCTCGCCTGACCTCCCCCCCACCTGCCCTTGCCATTTGTCCATTCACTTAATTAAAATGCAAATGGAAAATACTTCAGATTCTAGCTGTTGGCTGGCGACATTGGTAAAGGGGGGCGACTCGGAGCGGGCGACATGCATATTTCATGTCTGCTGATGATGATGACAGGGTTTCCCTTTTCCCTTTTCCATGTTCATTTCGTTTCTGGCTTCCTTACGAGGCATATTCAACGGAGGGTATAGCAGTTCCGTTAATCTCTTAACTTTAATTGTGAATTGTGTTTCGAACTTGTTTGGATGCCAAGCTGGGTTAGTCGCTCCCTTGGACTGCCCTACCTTCTGTTTATTATACCTTGATCATCCTCCTCCTCCTGCACGGACGTCCCTCGAGCAAGTTTCCACTGTTTGTTGCTGCTACCGAGTTTACGACGCGTGAACGGCAACAGCAACTCATCCGCAGAGCAGAGGCGACAAAATTTAAGAGTCCCGTCCCCCCATCGCCCATTTCCTCCCCCTTTACTAACGAGAAGGGAAGCGATCTTGCTTCTGCCCTGTCGGCGGCAGCCCCTCCCCACCCCTCCTCACGTTCGTTTCGTTCTCTTTGGTTATTTTTTTCTGGTTTTTATTGTACAAGGCATTTCCAGTGAATTTTTTGATGATATCTTTGAATGTTAACATTCACAAAAGCGTAAAAATTGTTTCCCCTCTACGCTCTGCGCTCTTCGCTCTTTGCTCTTCCATTCGCTCCCCTCCCTCCATCGGTATTAGTTTCTATATCGGCTTTATGAGGCACTTTTTACTGTTGAACCTCACTGCTGGGGACTGGACCTGGACCCTTTTTTCGTTTGTACGTACCCCGAACGTTCTGCCATGTGTCTGTGTGTTTGTCTCTTTGTGTGTGTGTGTGTGTGTGTGTTAAGTGAAATTCTTTTGTGCCCCGAGAAGCGAAAATAAAATTCACACACTGCCGAACGTGCCCCATGGTTCAGTGTGTGCGAGAAGCGGGTGAGAGGAAGAGAGGGAACAATGGAACTGGGATTTTGTGTTGAGTTGGGCAGTGGGTAGGGGGGAGACGACGGACGGCTTGCTCTGCTTGTTCGCTTCGCCTCTACCTGGCGGGCACAATCTCTCACAACAGCAGCAGCACCAGCAGCAGCAGCAGCATCGTCGAAGAAAAAAAGGTGCAAAAGCAGCAACAACAACACAAAGTCGTACCGAAACCGAAACGAGCGACCCGACCGACCAACCGACCGAGTGACGGAGTGAGAACAGCAACAACAACAACAACAACGAAATACACCCAATGACAAGCTGCTCGGCAATTTGACATAATTTATACGTCAAATTACTGCAAATTGATGCTAAATGGCTTCAAATTGAATTGACTGGCGCAGAAGAGGAGAAAAAAAAATTGTATGTGAAGAAAAATACAAAAAAAAGCGAAACAAAAACAAAATACAAAATGTAGCGCCCTGGCAGCGAAACGCCAACAACAACAACAACAACGACAAAAGCAGCTAAAACGATGCCTCATGTCGACAGCTATCATTGTTGTTGCTGTTTTTGTTGCTGTTGTGTTCACTCAAACGAAAACATTTTGAATATTCAGCGTGGGGGCATCTTGTGGGGCTGTTGCACTGTTGTTGCTGCTACTACACTAGACTCGACTGTTTTGCCGGGGTGTACTTATGGATGGATTGAGTGAGGGGAACTGGGATGTGGGATGGAGAGATTGTGGCTTGAGGAAGCGGCACAAAGATCGAGAAAAGAGCACATTCATCTTGACAGGCACCTTTGTGGGCCTGTGGCCTCTCCCCCTCCCCCCTGTCATTAGGCTGAACTCCGAAAACTGTAATAATGGACTAAAGCTGTGAGGCGAAAATTACCCAGATACTTGACGGCAGAAAGAGCTCTTTACCCATGGGTAAAGTTCAGTGAAAATGTAGCCTTAATTTTCATGTTGGAAATATTCATAGTGAATTTTAGTACCCCCCAATGCTTATACGTAACAAACAGTAGATGATGCTTCACAAATAAGATATGTTCATGGATAAAGTTTGTTTTTGGTTCTTCAGTTGGTTGAGGATTTATATTCTAACGAACATTTTTATTTAACTAGTAATTAAAACAATGTATGGACATCGGTTAAATGTAGCTACATACATAAAAATTACAATATCACGAATGCGTTCACGATTCAAGCGGTATTTACAGTACTACAAAAGTTTTATTGTAAAACCACTTTGAGCACCGATAAATACCCACAAATGGCTTAAATAGTTAAAGATCATTAAACCAAACGAAAACTCGGCAATTTTCCACCGATTCCGCGTTTGCCGCTCTCCCTCACCTCACCGTACACTTTGTTTTGTTTCCGCGTCGCGTGGGTCTGTAACTGTAACTGGTCGGGAGGAGGAGAAATTACAAAAAACAGCTCAATTCAAGGCACTCCCACTCGACGCCTTTCACACCTCGCTCTGCCCACACACACACACACACACCGCACTCACACAATAAGCAAGGAGGAAAGGAAAAATCAATTCTCAGCGGAGCAAGGCAGGCAAGCGGCAAACACACAAAATGCGCGAAAAAAGAAAGCCATGAAATGTGCAATGGCCTGGCCGTACAGAAAAAAGTGCAACTGTCAACAAACACAACAAAAGAGTTGGTTGTTAACAATTTGCTGTTGTTGTTGTTGCTGTTGCTTTGCCTGAAGCTCTTGGAAAATATTGAATTCAATTTAAAGCGCAAAAGGCGCTCATAAATCGCCGACAATTGGTATACCCTTGCAGAGAGTATCTCGATATCGAACAACTTTTTGCAACGTAGAGGGGAAGGCATCACAGATGAATAAACAATCGGTGGATATTCCACGACGTGGAAAGGGTAATGGAGAAAGGCAGCTGAATGCTGGCAGGCAGGCAGGCAGAGGGCCATTGACTCAGGAGTCAGCAGTCAGAGTCAGAGTCGACTTTGGGTTTGGGTTTGTGCAAAGTGAAAGAAAAGAGTTGCAGTCGGATTATGGCCATACTCTCGGGCTCTCTTACTCGTTTTATTCCCTTGATTGCAGGCCGCCCATCACCAGAGAGCACAAAGAAAGCGCGGGCCGGGCGCGGCATTTACCTTTCCGTAAACTGTCGGCGCAATTAAAATAAATTGAAACTGAACTTTTCTCTACGGTTCGTGGCTCCGAATAACAGTTTTCCTGGGCAGCTGTCGCATAATTCATCAACTACAATATTTCGAGGGGGTCTGAGAGGAAGGAATAAGGGAAAATTTAAGAAAAATTTGCGTGTGTGCCGTCGCGTCGTCAGAAAAAGTTTTTCATTTTTAGCATCTTGATTGTTTGTGAGCGGGAGGAGGGGTTGGGCAACGGGGGGGAAGGCAAAGCAGTAGCGGCAGCGGGAGCAGGAGGTGGAAGGAAGAACTCCTCTGCCTAGTAGCCGGGCCCACAACGTTGTCTGACTGCTTGCCTGCCATGGGCACGGGCTCGGGCTCGGGCACGGGCACGGGCACCATCCAAATGAACGTTCCACAGGCGTACCACCACTGTCCTGTCCGTCCCTGACTGTCTTCTCTGTCCGTCTGCTAACCTATCTTCACCTCTCATCACCCTCGAGTCCCCCTCTCTGGCTGTTCCGTTCGCTTACCTTCCCTTTCTTCTCCGCTCCTCTCCTGCACTGCTCCGCTCGCTCGTATCTGAAATTGTTCAACTTCATCAACAGAAAAAAAAAAGAAAAAAAAGATGCTGCCGCTGCTGTTTGTGTGTGTGTGTGTGTGTGTGCTGCCAAATCACACCAAGACAGGCTGCCTCTTCCCCTTCTGCCACTCCTGCTCCGAATGTCATGAGTCTGAGCCGAGTCTTTGCTCTCTTGTCCTTTTTGTTTTCTTTCGCTGCAGCAGCAAAAGACCCCGAGGACACGGAGCACTTGAGCTTGGGTTTGGGTTTGCGAAGAGATGGGGAGATGGGGCAGGAGGCGGAGTTAAGCGGATGCATAATACGGAAAAATGTCTTTAAGAGTGAGAGAGAGAGAGAGAGAGGGAAAGAGACATAGATGGATGGATGGAGTGAGATGGAGGAGAGAATCTCAAGCTGCTCGCTACATTATTTGTTCTTTATGGTTCTCTCCGCCCCTGCCCATCTCCATTGTCCTTCCATTGTGCGCTGTCTCAGCTGCACAGTGTGACAAAATGCAATGCGAAATGCAATTAGGTCGTCGGGGAGGGCAGTGTGAAATTATCCGGAGTGTGCACTCAAAGTCTATTGATCAAAACTCCCTTTTGGGTGGCATGAAAGGGCGTCACATCACACCCTTCCCCCATGCTGCATGCTGCACGCTGATCCATGGAAGATTATGCAAAGCTAAGTCGCTTTCGGGAATACCATTACCTTGTCTGGCGTATCGAGCATCGAATATCGTAGAAAGCAATCGATTTTGTCCCTTGGTGACGTATCCCAGTTCCCAGTTCTCAGTTGTCGTATTCCAGTTGAGAATTTCCACTCGCAAACATGTCCGGGGAAAGCAAGTTCGATGCGTACAGTGAGGCCTCGCGGATGGCCGCAGCGTTCAACGAGTTCGCTGACCACCTGATTGTGGCCGAGTTCCTGCCCCACAACGATCGGGTGGCGTACCTCAACCTGCGCACCCTGGAGCAGGAGATCTACTGCGTCGAGCTGAGCTATGCCGGCTTCCGGATCGTGGGCTACGACTTTGACCTCATCGAGGACGAAGTCAGCAACTGCGACTGGGTCTACGTGTCCGCCCACCGCCTGCTTGCCGCGATCAGTCCGCTCTACGCGGAGGTGGCGGAGAGTCGCCGTCGCCTGAACAGCGGCAAGGGCGTGGCCCGCTGAGTGTCTGCTAAATTTCTGTCTGTTAATTGCTGCCAAAAGTGATAATTAAACGGCTGTCCCAAAACAGCAGCAGGGGCACCAGCCGCCACTGCTGCAAGCACAACTTGGGGCAGGTAAATGACTTGATTGCAATAATAAAGCTCCCAGTCTGGGCACCGATTTGGAGCTGGGCTTTTGATTAATTGCTGCCAAGTGAGAGGACGAGTGGACGAGCCACATTGGCAGGCAACAGACATCAGGCTGGGGCAGGGTATGGGGCAGGCAACACTGCTGCAAGTTGATTGACTCAACTTGGCACTCTTCGAACCTTTTGTAGCAAAAAGTTAACAAGTTTTTGCCGTTCCACTTATACTGCTGCTGCTGCTGCTGCTTCTGCGACGTGGTTGCCGTCGTTGCTGCCGATGAAGATGCAGACATTGGATGGAGCACCCAACCCAAGCCCAAACTGAAAGCAAAGCCACAGCTCCATGCTCCATGCTCCATGCTCCATGCTTCTCTCCCTGCATTCCCTCATTGCTGCTACTCCTCTACTAGAGACCCCTGTCTGGGGTCCATGCCAACTAAGGTTTTATCTAGTTGAGTCCATCTAGCCGCTTGCCGTCCGTCCCGCCGTTGTCTGCCACGGACAACGACAGAGTCAGAGACGGAGACAGAGGCTAAAGCGACGAATGCTTGACACACACACACCCATGCACAGACACATACGCCCCATACTGTGGCAGACACACACACATGGGGATTGCTGGGCGAACGCATTTGCTCCGGCGTTCGTATCGGCCATGTCTATCTGGCCGGGCTCTCCACTTGTCTATGCTCGTATATTTGTCCATTGAAGCATGCAATTGATTGCTGCAACGGCCACAGCAGCAGCAGCAGCAGCGGCAGCGGCAGCAGCAGCAGCAGCAACCTCCACTGCAGTCTCCCCCCTGAGACCTCTCCACTGTACATCCGATCCTGCTGCGCTTTAATTGCCTTTTCATTGCAGCCCGTCGGCCTTTTGCCTCTGTGCCGCGTCTCCGTTTCCCTGAGTCCCTGGATCCTCCTGTCTGTGTGTGTAATTTGTGGTTGTTGTTCTCTGTTAATGCATTACATGAATTTTAACAAGCTTTGCATTCTGACTGACCATCCGCCGCTGCATGCCCCCACGCCACGCTCTCTGCGGCCCTGCCACTGCTGCCACAGAGGGGCAAACAAAAGTCCCCATGCCGATGTTTGTTTATTGTAGCCGCATCCCGTCGAATGCAGACATAATTTAACCTTTGCCCGCCCTGTTCCCCATCTTAATGCTTTTAATTTTGCAAATTTTCAATCAATGAATTACCCCACCCCGAACGCAGTCTCCTGGTCTGCTTGCTTTGGCCGGGGAGGAGTACATTAATTACCTGCATACCCAATGCCACCGAATCGGAATAGTTTTAATGAGCCCTGAACACTGCAATTATTGGCAGCTCGCGTTCCAAGTGCAACTATTAAACTAAGTAATTCCCACAGAGGAACAGGGCTAATGTGAGAGCCCCGAACTGATTGAGTGATTGAATACTGGCCCTCTAATTCGGGTTCCAGCTAGAAATTTCCCATGTTTCGGATTATCCAAGTGGCACGATCCAGATCCAATGGAAATCCGCGAACAGGTTCCATTCAAAGTGCAATCGCAAAATCGAATTCCAAAGCAAATCAAAACTAGTTTTCCCATGTGTCCATCCAGCCATTTCCATTTCGATTTCCACCTCTACTCTATCCGCAACCTCCATTTCCACCGTTTCCATTGCGCTGCCACTTTTCCGTGTTGGTCGAACTAATTGGCTGCGTTTTTGGTTAATTAGCGCAAAGCAGAGACAGCAACAAAACTCAATCCCTGGCCAACGCTCGCCGTCCACCGGGCCGAGCAGTCGGCAGGTCTGAAAATGAAATCTCTTTTCTGTCGCACACACGCGCTTTATTGGCACTCAAATTGGCGGCTAAACTTTGGCAGCAGCCAGCCGTCAACAGCAGCAACAAATACAACAAATGCAAAAACTACAACAACGATGATAATATCAGTGCATCTAGCGACAACTACAGCAACAACAACAACAACAACAACAACGACAACTATGGCGACGACAACGATTTTGTCTGGCTGAAAACGTTGTAATTATTTTATGCCAGATAACATATTGTCACAGGCCCGTGAAATGTTCACGGGGGACAATGACAATGACAGTGGCAGGGGCAGTAGCAGTAGCAGTGGGAGTGGCAGGAGGAATGAGGTATGCGGAGCTGGTTAGTGCTTAAATTATAAATTTTGCATATGCTAATCAGGGTGCACCAAGTCGCTGTACATGCTTCTGGTGGTTATTCATTTTTGTTCAATTTATTACAATTGAGGGGAATATTTCTGCCCACTGCCGCCACATATGCAGTGTAACGGCAGTGTAACCCATTCGCAACTGGTTCTGACTGGCTTTGTTTATCTATTCGCCAATGGATTTCAAACTTCTTAATTGGCTCAACTAACTTAGTAGTACTTAAATTACTACAAATAAAAAACAAGCATTAATATTAATTTATAGTATTGACAGGAGAAAAGAAAAAACTTAATCCAGTGGGAGATCAACCACAAACGGTGCAGATGCTCGCAGGCTGCTTAGGTTCAGGTGCTTCAGGTGTCCTGCAGCTAATACTATTTATCAGATCAGGGCAATCAATGTTCCACACTGAGTAAGACATCAATTGGATGGAAAGATGTTTTATGTTTAGAAATATTTCATCGATAGTCGAGGGAGAAGAGATATGGGATTCTCTCTGTTTCCATAGATGTTTTCCAAAGTTCTAGAAGGGATTTACCAATTAAATACTTTTCTGCTGTTTTATAGCTGATTAGTTACATCCCAACTTTCTCTTGCCGTCAAGTTCAGTTACAAAAATAACTCGCAGTTACGGCTTTTAAGTAGCTATCTGTACATGTTATAGCAAGTGCCGCGTGTGCGGTAGCGCCCCTCGGTTGGTTGCGCGTTGGTTGCGATCCCCGCGTTACAAGCTATGGCTTGGTGTCGCTTGGGCCACTTGATGGTGCAGCAATGTCCCATCTTAAAATTCGGATCCGGTACAGAAATCAGGCCCAGTGGAGCCGGCGGGTTATTCCCCAGCTGTTTTCAATTCTCGATCCCCATAGCGGACTTCATTACTCTGCTGCCCTTGCCAAACAGTTCCCATGCAAATCTTGCTTAACGGCAGCATACATTTTGGAGCTAGCTGAAATTGGGAGGGGGGTGGATGCGGCTGTCATCAGTTGACAGCCAGCAGGAGCAGAGGCAGCAAAATGGGCTTCGGGGTCGCCATCGTGGTTGCTGCTTTTAACCATTTGCAATAAATTAGCCGCTGCAACTGTGCAGAGTTTTCCCCCTGAAATGCAACTCGAATCGTATTTGGACGCGGGGCGACGGCGACACATTGACACTTTTTCGCCAACGTGCCCCTTGCGCTCCCCGGTCCCCGCGGCACCCTGACACTGCTCCTAACACTTTGTGCCACAACAATTTCCAAACATGTCTTGCCAATTTCACACTCCAGTTGCCTCCTCGACCACTGGATGTCGGTTTCTTCTTCTTCTACCTGGCCAACTCGACTCATCCGCAAGCCATTTTGGGACAGGAAATAACGACACTCGCAGCTGGACTTCGGCTGAAAAACTGGGACACTGGGACTCTGGGACGCTGGAACCGAGATCAGGACTTGGGTCACATTTCTGGGAGGTTGTTATTTATCTTTATTTGAACGGAGAGGTGCGACTCTTCAGAACATCTTTGTCGTAACTTTAATAATGGCTTCCACATGTTGGATCACTGCCGGGTGACTGACGTTGGCCTTAATCTTGTAGAACCCTGCGAGAAGGACTTCTGGCATCCCTACGCCATTGACGCTGCAGCGCGTCAGGGTGAAGGTTTTCTTTGGCCAGGGCGGCACATACTTGTCCTCGTACCTCGGTAGATCGGAGCACTCGCCCAAGTTCTTGATCACCATGTCCTTGTAGTACGTGTCTATGTACTCTATGAATGTCTGCCTAGGAATAGACATGGGGGTCAACTTGTAGTCACTTTCGGCACCGGTTGTACTCCGGTAGAGTTCCAGCTCTATCTATAACATACTCGTCAATGCGTCTCGTTACTTTTCACAGTTTTGCAATGATTTATAATAATAATAGACACTCACCATGACGCTCTCATCCAGATCGATGTTCCAGAACGCTGTTCCCGAGAAGAAAAAATCAGTGCGTCCCACCCGCTGCGTTCGCAAGTCAAACTTCATGAGGCTCTCGTTGGTGGAGAAGGCACTAACCGATTGCGGTTCACATTCCCATCTTGTCTGTAGAATATTTTATTGAACCGGACTACGTATTTGCATTCACAGAGAGTATATTTCTTTAGCTTACCTTTGCAGCACAGTCATCGGACAAGGCCGAAATGATCAGCAACAGAATGAAGTACGAAAACATCTCCCACAACCCACAATCAGTTTGATAGTTTACGCTGGCTTTTGCCTTATATACACATTTATATGTGGACTCTACATTGTGGAGTAATTAGCGGATCCAATTTTCCTGGCAATTACAAACACGAACTAATCATGTTTCAATATTTCATAAATTCAATCCACAAGCATTTTTTGTACGGAATCTGGATTAGAACTGGATTATGGCGCATTTAACAACGTACTTCCGTCTACATGGTTCCCAGCTGCATCTATTCTCATGCTAGTTCAATGCATTCCAGCTATACGAATCTTTTATTCAGCGATACTTAGAGCGCAAGCTCCAAATATTACAGGGGATATCCGTTCTTTGATATTCGTAACATGTTTAATAAGAATGAAATTAAGTTAAATTTACACATACATATGTATGCATATCGGTGTCTTACAGATACAGTATTCTTGTGTTAGCGCCGGGCAAGGAAACCAGATCTTCATAAAGATAAAGAATTTAACTGAGTATATCTTTGGCAGCCTATGAAAAGAGCACAAACCATTCTTAGCCAGTCCCGTCCACTGAGCAACCCATCTAAGGGATTCGAGGGAGTTTTCTCCTCCGAAATACATACATATATACATATGTACATACTATCAATGTCGACATGGTACACAAGTAAAAAGGGTCTATATTTGGGCTAAATAAAACCCAGATATCCAGATTTCTCCGACGTAAACGTCTCTCTTTTTGAAGTTGAATACTAAACCAAAATACGAGCGGGAACGTTGTGAGTCGCGGCTCTCATTTTATGCTTGGTACTCCGAAATGTCCGTGAAGAAAGGAGCCCCAATAAGCTGCATAACAATGAAACAATAACACTTCCAGTCTTTCGAATTGAAAAAGTGATACCTTTTTATAAGGCCTCGAGTTTAGTCATTAGGTCCTGACAACGCTTCAAAAGTTTTTGCTCTGGTTGACATTACCCCATAAGATTTTGATGACAATAAGATCCAGTGAGGCAAAACGCATCGGTCTTTTCGCTAAAAACCAATTCCCAGCGAGCTTTTGTGAGGGTTTCATGTCATTATACTGTTGGAAGATGCTTTTAAAAAACAATTTTTAGCTGGAACAATATTGTAAAGTATTCTCAAGTATATCTGCATACACATTTTTGTTCAATACTCCAACGCCAGACTATAAGATATTAGCTCAAATGAGCTGGGCCACATAGGGCTCAGCCCAGCTTCTATGATTTTGGGTGGCAGGCACAATTTTAAAGATACGTTCAAACTGAAAACGCAGTATCGTAGAGAATGCCCATATCTACCAGATTGCCGAATCTGAATCAGATCGGATCATAATTATAGCCAGAATGAAGATATTAATTTTAGTTGGTTTATTGAAGGAGATTCGAACGGAACTGCGTTCTATTCTATTCTCCATTTGCCTCAGATTTTGCCCAACAATTTGATGTACATTTATTAATTGCAAATGGTATATTTATTTTGCAGAATATATATACATTAGTGTGCTCGTGACATATAGGATGAGAGACTCGCTCAGAGAGGATCTCGTAGAAGCGAAATGACACATCTTTAATCCTATCCAGACATTGTTCTGGGACCATCATCCACATTAACGTCCAAGTAGTCGTAGATAGTGCTCCTCCATTCTCCATCTGCGATTATTTTGATCATGAACATATAGCTGCCTTTGGGTATGGGCACTTTGCTAAACATTTGGTTATCCAAAACGAAATTCTTCAGAATAAGGTCATGCTGCGAGAAGCAAAATGAGAGTCAATATTGTGGAGAGGTTAATCGGGCCACTCACATTGATGGGGCACGTGTGATTCACGTTGATAAAGGGCAACAAGGCACCGTAGAAGTAGTAGAAGACGGTCAACGGATTCGGGTGCTTCATGTGGTGGCAAAGGTCCACGGTGACGTTAAATAGGAACGGATGGTAGCCGGATAATTTCTTCCACACACTGTAGTTTATTTTCACCTTCCGAATCGGTAGTTTGTGGATTTGAATGTGGACATTGGCTCCGATAATGCCACGCCCCAGCACATTCAGGCGGCAGACACGCGTCTCTGCATACAAAGGATCAAATATTTCGCATTTTATGTTTGTATGCCGTGTACTGATATCACCGAAAGCCATTACAGCACTTGCAAGGAGCACCGATATCACTGAGAACTTCATGGGAAAGGTGTTATTCCCAAAATGAATCAAGCTATTTATTTTCCCGTATTTCCGTATCATTAGCTACGTGCCAGATCATTGCCTCACGATCGATTATCTAAGATTTTAGATAAATCGTATATGGGCATTTCCGCCGAATTGTCAACCAGGACCGAAAAATAAAAGGTTCATAATCATCGTAATTATACCTGTACTCAAAAAAGAGTTAAGGGGTATATTAGATTTGTGGTAAAAGTGGATGTGTGCAACGCAGAGAAGGAAACGTTCCGTCTTGTTTGTCGCCTGGATCTCAGAGACTATAAGTGCTAGAGCAACCAAAATTTGTTTCCAGACTCATGGGATATCACACTGCTACAAGTGTATTTAAAAATTTCGCCCCGCCACCTAAACGATAAGCTGAAAAATGTATATACACACTGAGTACGTGTATAAAAGTAGAGTCGCGTCCCCCACACGTTCCTTCTCGTTTATTTCTTAAAAGGTGAAGATGGTAAAGAATGTTACCTTCAAAAGCGATGAACAGCAAGTTTTGGTCAGTTAGAAGACAAAATTTGGCCATTGCTTAAAAGGGTTTCATTATACAAAAAAAAAAAAATACAAGTATAAACTTAAAATGGATTAACGGGAGATCTCGCTGCTTGTTGAATATATTTTTTACCAAGTGGATAGATTTTCAGATTTATTAGAGAACTTTTGTGGTGACCTTGACAATGAGGGTGAATCCCCATTCCACCTGGCCGCTGGTCGTGTAGACGATCTTGTAGAACCCCTCGGGGGCTATTTCTGGCAGCCCCTCGCCGTTGGCCACGCACTTGTCGAGCTTGTAGATGTTCCTGGGCCAGGGCGGCGCGTAGTCGCCCTCCGACTGCACCAAATTGGAGCAGTGGCCGACGTTCTTGATGAAGGCGTCCTTGTAAAAGCCGTTCAGGTACTCATAGAAGGGCTGTTTAGGGAATAGACCAGGGCAGGATCTTATAGTCACTCTCATCGCCCGTGGTGCTGCGATACGCATCAGCCTCGACCTAATCCGAGAGAGGTTTAGTTTAGTCAATAGCCATCGCAGTCCATTAAAGCCCGCTGAGGTCGCTCCACCTACCATTGTATTATCATCCGCATCGTAGTTCCATGCGAGGGTCATGGAGAAGGCAAACTCGGCGCGATTTAGCCGATCGATCGTCGCTCCAATTTTCAACAGGCTCTCGTCCGAACTGAAGGCAGCGATTGACACGGGCTCATATTCCCAGTTACGCTGTTTTTGGGTCGTTACGGATATGGTTTGAGTATTATTCTGGGACACGATATGGATCACCTACCTCTCCCATGGTACTAGGGACCATCAAAATCCCCATCCAAATGCCGGCGAACGAAAACGGCACCGAGCAGCGGGAGACCATCTTTCCAAATTGCGACTGATTGCAGATCTCATCGAATAGGCACTTATATAGCCAACGATCGGTGGATATTCTAGACGGATGCTGGCTGCACGAGGCTGCAGTAATTATCAAATTAATTATATACTCGCAATTTCGTGTGGAATGGTTTACATTTTAATTTACAACAACGACATCTTGCGTGTCCAAAACAAGAACAATATTTTGGAGGCTCCAGGCTTCGCACTGTTTCAATCGTTGCTCTATTGTGAATTTTTCAATGGTGGTCAAATATATTTAGCGGCTACCTTAGGAATACAGTGAAAGTCTTTGAAGATTCATTCGTCGAGATTTGTCGCAGGTTTTCTTCGGCCACGGCGACTGAAACTTTTCCTTTTCGAGCTCTTCTGATAATGGTTAAACGCATTGCGTTCAATCTTGAAGTTTGCTCTGTGACAATGCGATTGAGCGTAGAGTATTTATACCCATTGTTTCTATCTTTGTGCTCTGCATTTACACGAAAGTATCGTGTTTCCTTGCAACTTATTTTATGGGTTGGAAATGTTTAGTTTTTTTTTCTTAACTTAAAAGGTCAATCTATCGGGACATACCAACAATATCCGAAATTTCATGAATGTGTTCTACCATGTACCCCCATCCAAAGTTCCGAATTGAAACTGATTGCAGATCTGATAGAAAAGTCAACGATCGGTTGGTGTTCAAGTCGAATGCTGCGCGACATGAATTTCTATCGAATTGTACTCGAATAACATTCGAGGCGATATGTTCGTTGTGTTTGAATTGGGCTCCCAAATTGATGGAATTTATATTCAGTTTAAAACTGAGGATTTTCTAAAACAATTTAGTTTTTATCTTAACGACTATAGTAACCCCCCATTCAGGCTGATTGGGTCCCGAGATCTTGAAGATAACCTTGTAGAAACTGGGCGGAACTACTTCCGGAAGCCCGTCGCCATTAAAGATGCATTTTTCGAGTTTGTAGGTTTTCTTCGGCCACGGCGGCTGGAACTTTTCCTTGAACTGCGGCAGATTCGAGCAGTGGCCCAGGTTCTTAATTAGCACATCCTTGTAGTACGTGTCGAGATAATCAAAGTAGGGCTGCTTTGGGATGGACCACGGCAGCAGCTTGTAATCGCTCTCCGCCCCAGAATTGCTGCTGTAAGCAGTGGCCTCGACCTGCGGGTATTCGGAGGTATTAGACGATTGGATTGATGTTGGGTAGATTTAATTGATTTCAGTGGGTCACCCACCATTGTGGTCTCGTCCACATCGTATTTCCAATCCAAAGTGAACGTAAGGCCAAACTCTCCGCGGTTAATACGATCGATTTTAGACTCGATCTTCAGCTGGCTCTCATCTGTGCTGTAGGTGTCAACGGACATGGGCTCGTATTCCCATTTTTTCTAGAATCCAACAGATAATTTGTTGTATTGTGTGCTGCGAGGATTGCCTGCCTGTACATACCTCACCCACAGTGCCCTGGAGTAGCACGAGTAGCAGACAGATTTTGATGGCTTTGAAAAGCATTGCGGGCTCCACTTGGAGTTGGATCTGGAACAATATGATTGTGGGTCGGAGTATTTATACCCTTTATCCATCCATCTTTTGGCTCTGCAATCACACGGAATTATCGTGTTTCGTGTTGAAAATTTTTATATTTTATTTGTGGTAAAAGTGGATGTGTGTATCGCAGATAAGGAAAAGTTTCCGACCCCATATTCATGATCAGCATCAATAGCCGAGTCGACATAGCCATGTCTGTTTGTCTGTCTCGATGAGCGCCTAGATCTCAGAGACTATAAGAGCTAGAGCAACCAAATTTTGTATCCAGACTGCTGAGATATCACACTGCTACAAGTGTATTTCAAAATTTTGCCCCGCCCCCACAAAGGACGAAAATCTGTGGCAGGCACAATTTTATGGATACGATACAACTAAAAACACAGTATCGTATCGTTATATGTCGTTATATTCAGTTTTCCAACTGAGGATTGTCTACCCCATTTAGGCTGATTGGGTCCCGAGGTCATGAGGAGTGTATTGAGTATTTATACCCTTTATCCATCAATCTTTTGGCTCTGCAATCACACGGAATTATCGCGTTTGCCTTCAATTGATTTGCAGGAACTATGTCATTCAGTGGACATGATGTCGATGCGCGATCATTATCCGAATTATTTTAGACTGTTCTGATCCGGATCGGTCGTCGGATCCCATGCTAAATAAACAGATAAGAAATTTGAGACCTTCTTTTTTAATATGTTCTGTGTCTATATGTACAACTCTACAAAATTTCTATATTGGTAAATGGGATTTGTCCGTTCGGATTCCTTCACATCAGTTTGTTTGTCAATTTCGTAATAATTGTTAGTCCCCAATCAACGTGTCCCGTAAACGTGAGCATTATTTTATAGAAACCCAAAGGCAGAACTTCCGGGAAACCGTCGCTATCGGCTACGCAATTTTCCAATTTGTAGGTCTTCTGTGGCCACGGCGGGACGAACTTGTCCTTGAATTGGGGCAGGTTCGAGCAGTTTCCAAGATTCTTGATCACCATGTCCTTGTAGTGGGTGTTTAGAAACTCCTCGTAAGGCTGCTTGGGAATGTTAAATGGGGTCAACTTGTAGTCACTCTCCTGTCCCGTCGAACTGCGATAGCAGAGAGCCTCAACCTGATTGTGGAAGAAGAAGAAGATGCATCAATCAAAGGACCCTCTCAGTTATACCTACCATGACCTTATCATCGAGAAGGTAGTTGAAATAGATTGTGGCCGAAATGGCGAACTCGCCGCGCTTGATCCGGTCGATTTTGGGCTCGATTTTAAGCATGCTCTCGTCCGAGGAGTGGCCGGTGATGGACATTGGCTCGTAGTCCCATTTGCGCTGTTCGATGGGATTAGTCATTTGGTCTTTTAAACACTCGGATAACGTTTAATTTTGTATGCAAGATGCCAACATCCACGGGGGATATGATATGGAGATATTTACCGCGCTGTTGCAGCTCTGCGCGATCAGAAGTAGCACCCAAAGTCCAGAGAACGAGCGGAACGAAAGGGGCAACATTTTGCCCAAGTATTGTGATATATTGACAGAACTCTGTGGCTTTTATAGCGCTCACCTGTCAACAATCTGGTCCACCAACTGTTTATTGCTTGTACTGCCCGACCAGCTTCATGTGTAACTCATCTCTATATCATCACGATATGCACGCAATCTTCGTGTCATAGGTTTTATATCTGGATTCAGGATGTACATACGTACGTACGAATATTGCATAATAATACAATTGGGGGGATTCCGAAGCCTCTGGATTACATGATGGGATTATCGGATAAATATTAGAGCTGGACAAAGGCAATACATATTTTAATTATCACACAAAACACGAAACTATAAGTCAAATTAGGTTCCTACTATCTTTGATCAGTGATCACCCCATTCTCCGATAGGAGAGCATGGAGAGAATGCCCATTAATTTCTCTGCAGTGCTGGATGAGTGCCATGGGAACAAAAACGGGATCTCTCGATATCAGAGTTGCGTAACGTCACCACAGAGAGAGCTCTCATAAGTGGAGGCAACAAATTACTCGATGGCTTGGCGACGCGAGCAAAAGATCTTTCGGATGAATAAAGTCATAAATGCTGGTGGCTGGCATTATCAATGCATGGAAGGGGTCGGTCACAAATACAAGTGCACAGGGCTACAGAGACACTCAAGTGATCAATATATTGAAGAGAGCAATTGAATGTGGAACTACCCCCTTGAAGTCTCCGTCTGCGTCTCCGCCCCGTTCCGTCCCGATCCCAGGCTCTCTTGCTCTTTTTCAGACCCTCGTCTAAGTGGCATGATCGGCACTTGAGCTGCCTACACTTCGGGGCGTCGTGTCGCTTCGTGGTGGTGCGCATGCCACAAACAGTGGAAAGGGATCTGCTGCTGCACTTAATTTAATTGAACGCTGCGATACGATGGATCGCCGCCCCAGGCCCTGGGCATCTGGAGCCTAAGGAGCCGCCACCCCACCAACGCAATCGAATAATCGAATGTGTATGTATGTATCTATAGATACATATGTATGGATGTGAGTGTGATCTTGTACAAAATCAAATTATCGCGAATCGAACGAATCAAAACAGAATAGGAGTGTGTGTGTGTGTGGTTGTGTGTTTATGCGCTGGTACAAAGTGAGTGTATGTTGGGATCCTCTCTTTATGGACAGGGCTGAGAGACGCTAATAAAAGCGCACTGGAAACTCCCCGGAGGCGTTCATTTAGCAACCGCAGAGGATCAATCGTGTACAACAGCAACAGCAGAAGCAGCAGCAGCAGAGATGATGACGATGACGACGACGATGAGTCCGACCGATCCGACAACGATGTTGCCGTAAATCTTTAACTTCACCATGCGCTCTCCCCCTGCTCTGCTGCTGCTGCTGCTGGCTGGATGCTGTTGCTGTCTCGTCTTTTGGCTTGGTTGTTGTTCTTGATGTTTAGTACGTGCGGACAGGGACTGGGGCCATAACGAGAATACGTTGCATGCCTCCCCGCCTTCCACTACCTCACTCTCTCTCTCTTCACTCTGTTATATGGTAAAGCAAGGGGCTGGGGGAAATATACATACAATATGTTGCTGGCCGCAGACCCAATTTAAAACACGACTTGAACGATGACCGGCGCTGTCTTTGTGCCTTTCTATGGCCGTGCTTCGCCTTCCTCTCTCTCACTCTTTTCTACTTGCTGACTCTCTCTCTCTCTTCTGGTTCGGTTACCTGCCTGCGGTTGCTTGTAACTCCACTCCCTAGTTAGGACTGGGCATCGGTCTCGGGTCTCGGGGATTCATTGGAATGTTGAACGACAGCAGCAGGGTTCGATGGATCGTAGGGAGGGGGGGCACGGCAACGGCCACGGCGGCTATTAGTAATTTATTGATTTGTCTAAATTATGGTGTGTTTCAATCTTGTTGTTTGTTGTATGCGGTGTTGCCGCTTCCAGCACAAGCACCCAACGTGCTTCCATATCGACATCTTGGCTCGTTGTGTTTTTGGGGCCCCGAACCGAACCGTTGTCGGCGCGTTAGTGCCACATGCCACATACCACAAAACTCTTTGCCACCCACATGGCATGGCGAGGTGCGCCAAACGTGCCATTTTCTCTTCTGCGGAGTGTGTAATAAGTGATTAAATTGCGATTAAATGGTGGAGTGCAGAGAGGGAGATTACATGTACATTCATATATTATGTAAATGCGAGTATAAATACAATGTACATATGTACATTTGTATGTGCATTTTTACATAAGTATGTCATCCGCTATTGTCATGGAAATTTGATTGATATTCGCATTTATACACAGTTATGTATAAAAACACGCAATGTGTGGGCTCTGAGAACAGTCAACAACTCAATTAATTATGAGCAGAACAAACAAAAATCAGTCAGATCTCCGCCAGTGCGGCCCACACGCACGCACGTAAATCTTGTTTTTCTGTCGTCTGGGGCTGCCACTTAATTATCATAAAATGTTAAGCACATGCAAATTTAATTGTTGTTGCTGTTGAACAAAAAACCCGCGCAGCACAGCAAACAAAAAAAAAGAAGAGACATCAACGGAGATTCTGGCAAACCTATCAATCAATTAAATAGAAACAAAGGGGAGCAGAGCACAAAAGTGTAGACTCTGCCGACGCGATCGTTGCTGAAGGAGGATGGCAATAGTACTCTCTGGCAATTAGCGTCCGCACACACTCGCACTCGAACTCTCGTGTATATGTATGTATGGATGTGTGTGTGTGTGGATGCCTACTAAGGTGTTTTTATACAAGGTGAGGCATTTTCGCTCTCCGAGTCCCATGTTTTGCTTTTTGTTGCTTGGTGACACAGAGGGAGAGCTCTTGGGAATGCTTCACCTTATATAAAAACGTCTTGTGTTCGTGTAGTTTCGCAGATGATACTGGTTTTGGAGGTCACCAGAGGCGGGGGGATTAGGCCAATAAATGGCAAACCACTCTAAGCCCATTTTCGGACAAGTTTTGGGCACTTGACTGGAATAAGTGTTTATCTGCAATAAAACCAACAAGGGAGAAGGTGCCAGCGATGACGTCATGGCTTTGAGCGTGGTGGCAACGGAGAACGGAGAGACTGACTGCCTGTGACTTCTAGAATTCCCAGCGAGTTGTATCTTATCAGCAATCAAAATCGCAGCTGCTACTGTGCTCGAGAACGCATGTTAAATCATGATTCGGGGCACTTCACTTCTTGATAGCGGCGACCCACCCAGATGCCTGCCAGTGAGGCCGCTTATCAGTAAATTGTGCCAAAGTGCTTTAATTACCGAGTCGTTAAGGTGCTGCTCCATCTCTATGCCCCTTTTCTTCGCATACCCCTTGTAAATTATAGTATCCCCTTATGTAAACAGTATATGTACATAAGTAGTTAACCTTTCAATTTTAAACGAACTGATGAGAGGCAGCGACGTGATAAGAGTAGCCGTAGCCGTGGCCTCCGGAGTGACCGCCTCCACATACATATGTATATATGTATATGTACATCTTCACTTACATAAATATATTAAGTCAGATGCATATTATTTACATTGCATTGCATTCCATATTAATTTTGTCTCTCCGCTCTCTTTGCAGTTTTGAAAATGAACAGTTTGGCCCGAGGGCCGAGGCCCTGCGTCTCCCTGTGTGGTTGCCTGGAAAGCTCGACTAAACGGCAGCAACAACCCCATCCCAGTAACGTCCGCGACAGCAACAGCAACAAAATCAGCAGAAACAACACCGCTGCCTGCACGTTACCAGGCACTATTGGAAGTACTTTGGGCCGCCCGCGCAGTGCGGCCGCCCGATCGTTTGCGTCTGCATGGAGTCAATGAGACGTAACGAGGCGAACACTAGCCACCACCCGAATAAGGTGAGAACATTCGTTGCGTTGCCTGGCCTGGCCCCCTCCTCCGGTCGACACTCATTCCACTCTGCACTAGTGGGCGATAAGACCGTAATTATTTTATTGTCATCATTTCGGGTTACTCAAGTGCTCTTAGGCGTTCCAGCTGCTTTGCCTGCTTTCTCAAGTGGCCACTAGACTTTTGCAGTGTGTGATAAGCGCGAGCGGTGATAGCTCGGAGACGAGAAAGAGGCGAAGTTAAACGAAAGCAAAGCTGGCGAGAATTCAACTACGTTTTGTGTGTGTTGATGTCATTGGTTTATGACAGCAGTAGCGTTTAGCATTGTCTGATTTATTGTTTAAGGCGGCGTGGCGGGGAATACAATCGAAATCACTTAAAGTTGTCGCGCATAGTTATTTATTTATTAGCAGCTAGTATACACGTGAGTAGCTTGACGCCGTTTGCCGCCCGTAGAGCGTTTACCAACACTGAGTCCGTTTTGTTTACTTGCCTCTGCCCTCTGGCAGCTCTTCCTCGCTTTACTCACCCTCTCCCGCTCTTGAGTGTGTGTGTGTGCCGTGCTTCTTCTCCATAGTCCAAAGTGTGCGTGTGTGTTTGTGTATGTGCAGTTTTCGGTGGTTGCTCTCTGGCTCTTTTATATTATTTTTTTTTGTTTTTCCGTTCAGTTCCATCGGCAGCGTCGCTGCTCTGCCAAACGAAAAAGGACGCCGCAGAAGGCTCGCGCAAAATATTCTAGAGAAATTGTTCGTTTTTATTGTTTTTTGGTTTAGTTTAAACATTTAGGATATACATACATACGTATGTCTGTAATTGGGGCTTGTGAAATGGAATGGAAAGGAAGTTTTCCAAGGTAAAGGGGAACAAAAGTGAAGTGCTTCGAGTTTTTCCATTAGTGCGTCCTATTCCGTCGTTCCCGCACAAGAGCAGAACGCACGCACACACCCACACGGACTAATACAGCTGCAACTGATTCTTTGGATTCCTTTTCGTGTGTTCGCAGGTGGCCCTGAATAGCAGCAACGTAGCAACGGAAAGCAATATTAAGAGTAACAAATTGTTAGCTAATTTAAGTGGAGCGAACGCAGCAACAATCCAGACAGCAGCAGCAGCAGCAGCAGGAACAGCGACGGCAACAACGGGAAACGCGACGGCAGCGACAACAACGAATCAAACGTTGAATTACAATAACAAAGGCAAGGTGACAGCAGTGGCAGCGAATAATCAGAGGAGCAATCACAATAACAACAACAACAGCAGCAGCAGCAAAAAGCACACGAGTAAGTAAAAGAGCGAAAGTACTGCAAATGCAATTCCCCAGGTCTATTTTATTGATGCTTAGTCCCGCTCTCCGGGCAGCCTATTTTGTTGTCCTCGGTCCTCTCTTTCTCCCTTTGGGTGCAGCTCCTTGTAAGAGCAGCTTACCTTGCATCCATATTATTTGATATACATAACTTGCAAGTGGACTATCAACCTTTTCACCCGTCTGTCGCTCCTCACTCACGCTCTCTTCTCTTCTGTTCTCGCAGAGGTAGCTGGAGCTGGAAAGACAACAGCCTCTTCCCACTCTTCGGCGCTGTCATCGTCGAGCAGCTCCAACTCGAGCGAGTCGAAGGACACGAACTTCGAGTACGAGGACGAGTGGAACATCGGGGGGATCCCAGAGCTGTTGGACGATCTAGACGCGGACATCGAAAAGTCTGCGGCGCATTCGGGTGGTGGCAACCAGGCTACCTCGATAAATGCCAAGCAGGCAACCAGCTCATCCTCCACATCCACATCCACTTCTGCATCGGCGCCAGCCAAAGCGAGTGGGGGGTCATCATCATCATCAGGAGCGTCAGCGTCAGCATCAGCATCAGGATCAGGATCGTCAGCGGCTGCAGTGCATCACAAGTCACACAAGACCACATTGCATAGCAATTTGTCGGCCACATCGCCAACCACAATTAAGTTCACACGCCAGCCCCTCCCCAGTGGCACCGGGAGCAGTAGTAGTGCATCATCTGCGTCATCGACTTCGTCGAACGGGAACGGAAACGGGAACGGGAACGGAAGCAACACAAACGTGGTGGCTAGCAAGGGCTCCTCTTCGGGCAAGCATCATCACCACCACCATCATCACTCGACATCTTCCTCCTCTACCTCGTCGAGCCACAGCGGCGGCTCCAAGGGCTACAAATCCGCTTTGGTGGCGCAACTGAACAGTCCGAGTACACTCGGAAATAGTCACAGCAGCGGGAGTCACTCCAAAGCACCTAGCGCAAGCGGCACAGCTGCTGGAGCAAGCGCAGGAGCCGGAATCGGAGCCGGCAGCACATTGTCATCCTCGACATTTGCCGGCTTCTCGAAGGGAGGTAGCCTAGTCTCCTCTTCTACAGCGTCAACCACAGCTTCAGCTACAGCTACAGTTACAGCCACAGGCACAGCCTCATCCGCAACTGGCACTGGTCAGCAGGCCTCCAAAGTTTCCGCTGGCGGCATGTCCTCGCAAACGGGCAGCGGCAGCGGCAGCAACACAAGCAACAACAGCGGAAGCAGCAGCATCAGTGGGAGCGGAGGAGGAGGCGGCAACGCCAACAGTACCGGAAACAGCGTCACCAACAGTGGAGGCAGCCTCACCGGCCCAGTTGGTGGCCAGAGTTCGCAAGGCGGCAGCAGCTCCAGCGGTAAATCGACAAAAATGTCCATTGATCATCAAGCCACGCTCGACAAAGGACTCAAAATGAAGATCAAGCGCACCAAGCCGGGCACCAAGAGCTCGGAGGCCAAGCACGAGATAGTCAAGGCCACCGACCAGCAGAACGGAGCCCTGGGCGCCAACTCGGCGGCCAACTCAAACGACGATGGGAGCACGGGCGCCAACAACGCGTCTTCCCTCTCATCCAGCAACTCTTCGAGCAGCGCCAGCAGCGGCAACTCCTCCAGTAGCGGGAGCAGCAGCGGGGGTAACTCCTCCAGTAGCAGCAAGAAACACATGAACAACTCCAGTGCTGGCAGCGGATCCTCATCCAGTGGCGCCCAGAACAGTGCGGGCCACAGCAGCTCGGCCAGCACCTCTTCGAGCAGCAGCCAGTCCACGCCTCAGGGCACCAAGAGGGGCAGCTCGGGACACAGACGCGAGAAGACCAAGGATAAGAACGCACATTCCAATCGCATGTCCGTGGACAAGTCGGCCGCTGCCGCATCGGCGGCTGGGGAGAAGGACACGCCAGAGAAGAACTCTGGATCTGGAACGGGATCGGCGTCGGGGTCGGGCGCACCATCCTGCTCCTGCAGCGGTGACGTGGGCACGCCCTGCTCTCATCACGCCTGCATCCGGCGTGCCGCGCACATGTCCAACTCAAACTCCAATTCCAATTCCAGCGGAGGGAGCAGTTCAGCCAACGTTCCTGTTGCTGCCGCTGCCTCCTCCATGTCTGCTGTGCCGCCAGGCGTGTTCACACCCTCGGCCGGCTCGCCTTCGGCGGGATCCCCATCGGCCGTCGTCCCAGCAGCTGCCTCTTTGCTGGCAGCCACAACGGCCGTCTCCTCCTCCGCCTCGCAGCTGTCCAGCAGCGGTGTGGGCGGGAGCGGTGGCGTTGTAGGCGGTTCTGGAGGACCGAATGCACCGGGGCCCCCAGGCAAGGAAACCTCCGGCAGCAGTATCAAGATATCCTCGCACATCGCCGCACAGCTGGCAGCCGCAGCAGCATCTAACAGTTACACCGGTCAGGGTCCTGCTCCGGGTCAGGGCGGGAGCGGAAGCGGCTCCAACTCCAACAGCAGTCAAAGCAGCTCGAGCAGCAGTGCAGACAGCAAGGCATCGGCTGCGGCCCAGGCCAAAATGATGGCTCCGGGGATGATCTCAGCGACAGTGCACCACACGATTTCCGTGCCGGCTGGCAGTGTTGGCGACGAGGACACCAAATCCCCGCCAGCCAAGCGGGCCAAGCACGAGGCAAACAGCTCCAGCAACAGCGGCAAGGAGATGGTCGACATCTGCATCGGTACTTCGGTGGGGACCATCACCGAGCCGGACTGCCTGGGGCCCTGCGAGCCGGGCACCTCGGTCACCCTCGAGGGCATCGTGTGGCACGAGACCGAGGGCGGCGTCCTCGTTGTGAACGTGACGTGGCGTGGCAAGACCTATGTGGGCACCCTGCTAGACTGCACCCGACACGACTGGGCTCCTCCAAGGTGAGTGTGTGAGACTTAGATTGCGACTGCGACTGGCAGTGGCAGTGACAGTGACAGTGGCAGTGGGACAGGCTGGGATAGCTCACACTGATTCCCAAACTATTTTATAGAGTCTAGATCCGTACTTGAATAAAGATGCCTTTCAATATTATTTTCCGGTTTTTTGTTCGTTTTTCCTTTGTCCAATTGGTTGTTTGAAAACAGCCAGTTAGTCAGCCAGCCCACTATATTCCGAAATTGCAAACTGAGCTCCCAAGAGTTCGTGTTCATGTCTGATCGATTCCAACGGGTAGATTGATAGGAACCTTCCCATCTTCCTACTATGGTGTGGTGGGGGGAGCTTTCATATTTTGTTGGTATACTCATTTAACCATTTTTAAAATCCATTTCAGATTCTGTGATTCACCAACTGAAGAATTAGATTCTCGAACTCCAAAGGGCCGCGGCAAGCGCGGACGCAGCGCCGGCCTTACGCCCGACCTGAGTAACTTCACCGAAACCAGAAGTTCGGTATGTATGATCATCGCAATTAGATGCTGGACATGCTGAGGCTAACATTCCGTGCGACATTCTCTTGCAGATTTACTTCTCCCATGCCCAAGTGCACTCGAAGCTGCGCAACGGCACCACCAAGGGACGAGGGGCCACGCGCAGTGCCTCGGGGAATGCGGCCACGAACAGCAACAGTGGATCGTCTGGAAATGGGGGCGGGGCCACGCCCAGCACATCACCCACAGCATTTCTGCCGCCGCGTCCGGAGAAGCGCAAGTCGAAGGACGAGGCACCGTCCCCGCTCAACGGCGACACGGACGGGGGCTCGGACCGGAGCATGGCGAACGCCAGCGGCATTCCAATATCGGCAAGCGGCGGTGGCCTGGCCACACAGCCGCAGAGCCTGCTTAACCCAGTCACCGGACTCAACGTGCAAATCAACACAAAGAAATGTAAGACTGCCTCGCCCTGCGCGATCTCCCCGGTGCTGCTCGAGTGTCCCGAGCAGGACTGTAGCAAGAAGTACAAGCACGCCAATGGGCTGCGCTACCACCAGTCGCACGCCCATGGGGCTGGCGGAGGCGCCAGCTCGATGGACGAGGACTCGATGCAGGCACCGGATGAGCCGGGCACGCCGCCCTCTCCAGCCGGAGCTACAGCTGCAGCAGCGACAACAGTAGCAGGAGGAACAGTGGCACCCTCCACTTCCACCTCCAACGTTTCTGTTGTCAACGGAAGTGCTCCTTCAGCGACAGGCGCAACAGCAACCGCAACCGCAACCGGAGCAGCAGCAGCAGCTTCAGTCGCCCCGATAGCTACCACATCCTCTGGAAACGCAGAGACACCAGCTATACCCGCTCCACCAGCAGTCACTCCTCCAACTCCGACACCCATCTGCTCAGCAGCAACAGCAACGGCAATTGGTGGAGCAACAACAGAGGCTACACCCATCTCTGTTGTGCCTATAGCACCCAATCTTCCGCTGGCAGTCCCTGCAACTGCATCGACGGCGTCGTCGTCAGTGCCTCCACCATCACAGCCTCCGCCGCCGCAGCAGCAACAACAGCAGCAGCAGCAGCTGCTTACTCCAGGCAGTAGCTCGGGAATCAACCAGCCTGTGGCCGGGGGCAGCATCACGGCTGGCATCTCTGGCCAGGCTCTCTCCCAGCACCAGCAACAGCTGATGGGTGGTCTCCCGGCCATGCTGACGGAGCAGCAGCAGCAGGCGTTGCTTCAGCAGGGAGCCTGTGAGTATTCGGCCCGTGCCAACCACGATTCTTCGTCGACTAATCCCCTTCTCTTCCTCCCTCCAGTGAAAGCGGGAGTCCTGCGCTTTGGCCCGCCCGATGCCACTTCCCTGCAACAGCAGCAGCAGCAGCAGCAACCAGGCCAGGTTCAGGTCAATCCACAGACGCAGCAGCAGTCGCCGCCGAGACCACCCAACCACGCTCAGGATGCGCAGCAGACACCAGCTGTCTACGCACAGCAGGCGGGGCTAAAGACCTCTCCAGGATTCGGGTCTGTGGGCGTGAGTTCTAACAGCAAGCAGAAGAAGAACAGGAAGTCGCCCGGGCCAGGCGACTTCGATGGTCGGGTGTCCCGCGAGGATGTGCAGAGTCCGGCCTACAGTGATATTTCGGACGACTCCACGCCAGTGGCCGAGCAGGAGCTGCTGGAAAAGTCGGCAGTTGGACAGCCGGGCAAGCACATCGAGCTGCTCGGCAAGAAGCCCCCCGAGGTGGGCGTGGTGCCGGCAGCTCCCACACCCAGCATGCCTTCCCTGGGCGGCTATGGGATGTACCAGTTCTACCCAGCCCAGCAGCAGGCGCCGCCGCCTCCACAACAACAGCAGCAGCAGTACATGGTGCAGACGGGGCCCGATGGCATGCAGCCCGGGAAGGCAACCGGAATGCCACCGACGCTGGCACAGGCTCAAGCACAGGTTCAGCAGCAGCAACTGCAGACGGGTCCGCCTCCACCTACCTCACAGCCGCAGTCTCATCTGCTTGTGCCACCCTCCCAGCAGGCGGTTAGTGCCCACCTGGCCGATTACAGCAACAAAAACAAGGATCCGCCACTGGATCTGATGACCAAGCCTCAGCCCGGGCAGCAGGCAAATCATCAGCCGCTGCAGCAGGGACCACCCCACGGCCAGGGGGAAAACATTGGAAAAGATGGCGGTGCCCCACCCTCATCCCAAGTGGGAATCCAGCCGCCACCTGTGAATCTGAGTGCCGTGGCTGGCCCGCCGCCTGGAGTCCTGCCTCCTGGCCTGGGAGGTCTCTCAGCTCTAGGTGCCGCCGGCTTGGGCGGTCCAACGCCGGGAAAAGGCATGCCCCACTTCTATCCCTTCAAGTAAGTAGAGCCGAATGCCGAATGCATGCCATCCATTGAAAATGTGCCAACTCAACCGTTTCTATTTATATTTCTGTTACAGCTTTATTCCGCCTGCGTATCCGTACAATGTCGACCCGAACTTTGGACCCGTTTCCATTGTGGGCTCCTCCGAGGAGGCGGCGAAGCTGGGCGGCCATCCAGGCCTGCCCGGGTCACAAGCCCAGCAGCTATCAGGGATCAGCATCAAGGAGGAGCGGCTCAAGGAGAGTCCCAGTCCGCACGAGAACCCCAAGCACATGGCGCCCCAGCAGCAGGTGCGTTATGCGGCAAAGCTTCCCATTGCGCATGGAATAATGGATTTCGTTCTCGTTCTTTCAGCTGCTGGCGAACAAGCTGATCAAGCAGGAGCCGATGACGAAGCAGGAGATCAAGCAGGAGCCGAACTCAAATCCTGGCCAGCAACACCCGCCGCAATCTCAGGCCCAGGCACCGCAACCTCAGCAGCAGCCCCCACCCACGCAGCCCCAGCAGCCTCACGCCCTGCATCCCAAGGATCTGCAGGCCCTGGGCGCGTATCCAACCATCTACCAGCGTCACTCGATGAGCTTGGCGGCGGTGCAACAGGCCCGCGACGAAGAGCTGCGACGGTAAGAGAGATTCATTACGAATTGCATTACGAATCCCGTGCCATCCATACTGACTTCGTTCTGCCCTCTCCTCAGGTATTACATGTTTACTGGTCGACAAAACCAGGCAGCCGCCGCTGCTGCTGCTGCTGCGGCCGCTCAGAACGCTGCCAGTGGCGGGGGCCCTGGAGGGCTTCCGCCTCATCCCGGTATGATGCACAAGGATGATTCCAATTTAAGTCTGCAGCAGCAGCAACAGCAGCACATGACTCTGGCCCAGCATCAGCAGCAGGCGATCCAACAGCATCACCAGCACCTCCAGCAGCAACATCATCATCAACAGCAGCAGCAGGCGGCCCAGCAACAGCAACAACAGCAGCAGCAGCAGGCGGCCCAGCAACAGCAACAACAGCAACAGCAGGCACAGCAGCAGCATCAACAACAACAGCAGCAACAACAGCAACAACAGCAGCAGCAACAGCAGCAACAACAGCAACAACAGCAGCAACAGCAACAACAGCAACAACAACAACAGAAGTTAAAGCAATCGCAGGCTCAGGCGTCCTCAGTGGGAAACAACAAGGCCACAAATCTGACAAAGGACTCCCCCAAGCAAAAGAACAACTCCGGCGAGGATGAGCAACAACAGCAGCAGATGAAGGTGAAGCAGGAGGGTCAAAAGCCGACAATGGAAACACAGGGACCACCGCCACCGCCTACGTCGCAGTACTTCCTCCACCCCTCGTATATATCGCCGAATCCGTTCGGCTTCGATCCCAACCATCCCATGTACCGCAACGTACTGATGTCTGCAGCCGGCCCATACAACACGGCACCTTACCATCTTCCAATACCCCGCTATCATGCGCCAGAAGATCTCTCCCGCAATACGGGTACCAAGGCACTGGATGCACTGCATCATGCAGCCAGTCAGTACTACACCACGCACAAGATCCATGAGCTCAGCGAACGTGCCCTCAAGTCGCCCACCAGCGGCAGCGGCCCCGTCAAGGTGAGCGTCAGCAGTCCCAGCATCGGACCACCCCAGTCGGGTGGCCCATCAAACAGCGGTCCGGGCTCCGGTCCCAATGTCCTCGGCGGCAACGGGCCCAGCCAGCCCGGCTCGGGTCCTGGGTCTGCGGGCGGTGTGCCGCTGAACCTACAGCCACCATCAGGAGGATTGGGCTCGACGCCCGGTAACAAATCCGACCTGGCCAGCCAGAAGCCGCACGGAGTGCCGCCTGGCTCAGCGCTAGACGCGCACAAACAGACGATGCCTGGCGGTCCACCACCCAGCGGACCACCCGGCAACGTCGGTGTGGGAGGAGTCGGAGGAGCCGCTGTGAATGGTCCTGCGGGCGGAGGTGGCGCAGGTGCCGCTGACTCTCGCAGTCCGCCACCCCAAAGGCACGTCCACACTCATCACCACACGCACGTAGGCCTTGGGTATCCCATGTATCCGGCGCCCTATGGAGGTGAGTAGTGCAGTTCATTCGAAGCGCCAAGCGAATGAACAACCAAAAAGGTATCTAATCTAATCTACCCTGTCTTTTTCGTATTTAGCGGCTGTCTTGGCTAGCCAGCAGGCGGCTGCTGTAGCTGTGATAAATCCGTTTCCGCCGGGACCGTCGAAATGAGAACCAATGAATGGGAGCAACGAGAAGAAGGTGTATAACGTGAAGAACAACTAGCGTGGATCGGAATGGGAATAGGAATGACGGAATGGCGAATGCGATTGCCGTTTTTGATAAAACTGATTATCCCAAGATCCCCAAGGCCAGACAGACACACCACACCGACAGACACTCTCCTTGGGCTCGCCAACTTCTTCCCGTCGAATCCTGTCCAGGTCTTCTATGCTTCTGCACAGTCCTTCGGATGCTGATGCATACAATCGAGTAAATGAGGAATCGACTATTTATATGCATAAGTATTTTTTGTATGTTTCGTTCAACGTGGTTAACTATAGCTATCCTAAGGTATCACTACTATTAGCACATACACAACATATACATACATATACATATATAAATATATATAGCATAACTACTATAGCGGTTTTTTCCTAAGTGTATTTGCATATACATACATATAGATATCTATATTTATATATATTAATGTATATCATACGAGAGAGGCGTAATCGAACATGAACAAACAAACAGACAGACAGAAGAACAGAAGAACATGCTGCAACAAGCAAGCAAACAAACAAACAAACAAACCCCAAAACTGTAGTGTGTTGATTTCTTTGTAAAAATAACCATTAAACGAAAACTAACCAGAGATAAGAAATATAAACGAATTAATATTGTTTAACGATTAAATTATGCAAGTAGACCGTACAAGTTTAGCATTTAGAGTTTGTATTAATTATCCCTATCTGTGTTGCGGATGGAGGGAGCTGCGCGAGATTTGCATCTAAAAGACAAATTGGGCGCGCCGCCCATTCATTCTTTATAGTATACTAAATATATGTATGTATCTACTATGTGTGTATCTATATCTATTGTATGTGTGTACTACTCGTGTCCGTAGCTTCTTGATATAAGTTCTCTATGAATGAAAATGATTCGACATTTTTGGGGCCAGCAGAGCCGTCACGTCACACTGATTTAAATTGTTTCTAAGCATCAATTTGTACTTTAAATATACGTACATATATACGCATATGCATATATGATATGATGATGACGATGATAGCGATAATAGCGACGTACATACATATGTATGTGTAATAACATACATATGTACATATTTATCTTTGTGAATGTCGGCGTGTAGTAGTTCATCAGCCGCTTCATAGTTTCTACACGCGTGATTTATGGCACTTAATGTTCTTTAGCCTAAGCTCCCAGACAAAGGAACCTAAACTAACCTAGCCCCCCACAAGAATCCTTTTCCCAACAATTCTTCTATAGAATTTACGAATAAAACAAGTATTGATTGTAAATATACCATACTGCGAGTCTTTTGTATTGTAAATTAGTTCCACTGATTGATTTGATGGCCAGTGGAGAGGAGATATTATTGCATTGCTGCATTGCCATCGCATGTTCATGTTATAAACATTAAAGCATCATACATGTACATATGTGATGTACTACGTATGTATAGGTATGTGCAACCGCTGCTGCAGCAGTGAAGTAACCTCGAAACGTAACCACAAACAAACTATGCGCGAGAGCCATTTATCGTATATTAAAATTTGATCAATGTCTTCATGTGTAGATCAGTTATGCAATTGTTGTCCCTAAAAATAATTCGAAACCACTTTAAAGTCTCTAGGTGTTTGACATTCACAGTGCAATTTGTAACCCAATCCTTAACAAGAATCAATTCACGGATACACATACGCAACGTAATAATTTAATGAGCATTAACAAACATTACCATCACTGCTTATCGAATGGTACAAGTAGTTTTATACAGTGAATGTATTTTAGAAGAGAAACGAAAACAAAGATGATAACGCATTGAATTGAATTCGAAACAATGAAATTGTATCTAAGCGAATGAAGCCCCCCCCACCCCATCGGAGGGAGTGGCGTATTGGGATGTGATGGCCATGTGAGCAGCCTCAAAACGGAGGTGGAATCAACAAACAGCTAAATAATCATTGGCAAATCATTCATACAAATATTACAAACAAATTTGAAGAAAATACATAACTAGCGACTAAGAAATTTCAAGAAAATATAGTACACATATTTAAAGTATACAGAAATTATAAAAACAGCTTTAGATGTGAATAAAAAAATATGTAATTAAACCATGGTGTAATACTACTAGTTATTCCTCCTTCTCTATTACAAGGTTACAGCTAACTTCTCTGTGTCTTCCCGAAAATGAACGAAGCTTATGGTTTCTGCGTTGGGTTAAGTCTTTTATAATATCATAAGTTACTTATGCCTAAAGTTCTTGGCCATTTTCTCATGCACTGCCAAGCGGAATCATGAAGCTCATGTAGTCAGCGGTTGCGCCCCAGGCGGTGCGATTCGTCTGGAATGTGATGATCCAAGCAATGATCGCAACGAGCCACAAAAAAGTTCCCACAGCAGAGTATATTACAACTGATAGATAGATAGATAGATCGGGTTGGGACATTATAGTGCATATCGTTAAGTGTTTGGATAACTTCATCGGTACTAACATCGTTTTAATTGGCTCTGTTCCGGGAATGGGGGTTTGCGGAAGGCCTCCTCAAAGCACCAGCAAACATTGATGGCCCACACGAAGGGCAGAAGGGCAAATCCAGCTTGAAGTAGAGGATTCATGGAGTTTTTTGTTATTTGTAAAAGACCAGTGAGTCAAAACTGGGCCTACCATAGAAGTATGTACGGCACAGTTGCAGTTTTCGTGGATTGGGTGCCTTTGAGAAGTCCATGGCAAATTTTGTATGTGTGTGGGCGTTGCTTAGTCCTCGACCGGTTGTGCAAGAAAATATCGTAGTTGCTTTTAAACGCACGTAGTTTGGATTAATTAATATTGTTAAATATTTTTTCTGTTTTGCAAAAGTAGTGCAAAACCATCGATGGTATGGTTTTGTATTTCGTATCGATAATTTTGATATCGCAGTGAACGTGATCTAACTTTCACGGAATTTGTGCTTCTATGTTTATATTTCGTGTTAGTAAGAATAAGAATCAAAATCTCGTCATTCCATATTCGTATAATTTGCTGGAAAACCCTGTTTGCGTTTATTTCGATATTGCGCTATAATTTTGCAGTGACTATCGAGTGTAGTCAGCTCGCCAAGTGTTGTAAAACTTCGCTTTTTGGGCTATCGATAGCGCACCTGGCCCATCACTATTTTAGCACACGCCGCGTAAAAGTGACGCCGATTTCAATTTCAACTAATTGCTAAATTTGAATAAAAACCTTGGAACAATGGGCGATGTGGACGATTTCGACACCTTGTCCGATGCCGACTTGCGGGCAAAGATGATTGCTCAGGGACTGCCGAATATTCCAGTTACAAACAGCAGCCGCAAAGTTCTGGTCAAGCGTCTGCGCGCCTCCCTTGGTGGCCAGGCGTCGCCGGCAGTCGCTGCCAGTCCCAAGAAAACCAACAAGCGTGAGACCATTGCGCCGGCTGTGCCTTCGGCCGCAGCTCCAGCTCCAGCTGCTGCTTCTACTCCGGTGGACAAGCCAGATGGAGTGAAGCCGGGCCCTGCATCTACCAAAGCTCGGCGCACAATTGCGTCCACAATGAACGACAACAAAGCCGCTGACCGTCGTCGCCCTGAGGAGCTGGTGACCAAGAAACCAGCTGTTCCGGCTCCCACACAGACGCGTCGTATCTCCACTTCCTCAGAAAAGCGGGAGGTAGTGTTAGAGCGTCCAGTCAAGAAGCCAGAGCCTATCATCGAGGAGCCTGCTGTGCCCAAGCGCACCAACTACCATGAGAACACTTTGGAGGTCAACTCGATGATCGTCCTGGAGTCTGACGAAGAGGAGGACGAGCAGTTGGCACAGGCTGCTGACCTTGTCGAGCGACAGTACAAGGCCAAGGAAAACCCAAAACCCAGATCGAAGCTGACGGCTACCACAACCAATACATACGAGTACGCCGGCAAGCCAGCTGTCTCGATGGCCCCACTGGCCTACAGTAGCAAGGCCGTGGACCCTCCACGCAGACAGGCGTACGAATCCTCTGCTGCTCCAGTTCTTAACATGGCTCCGTCCATCATTGCTTCTCGTACACAGACGAGCAGCTCCTCATACGACTATCTCAGCAACCCCACCGGGCGCTACAGCAGCTATGTGCGCTCGCCAGCCCAGAGCTATGTGACCGCAGAGGCACCGGCCCCCCCTCTGGCCTACACTTCAGGCTACCGCCGTTCCCCACCACGTCAACCGTTTGCCAACGAGCTGAGCGACGAAAACGAGGAGGACGATGGCCAGTACGAGAGCACCTTTGCTCGCAACTTGGCCCGTCTCCGTTCCGAACGGATCGGGGACAGGAACAGTCCCTACAGCAGGCGCACCATAGCCAGCACCGATACTATGGGCTATGAGCCCCAAGCACGCCGCTCCCTGCGCCCCGAAGAGGCCAATGTCTCCGTGGCCTTTCGTCGCTGGCTCAATAGCTTGAACGAAGCCTACAATCTTAAGTCTAAGATGTTTATATTGTTCGTAGTTGTATTGTTGATTGGCGTCTATCGCGTCTTCTACTAGACAAGAGCCTAGCCTTGTGAATGAATCTTATCCTACAAATTTAAGTTTGTTTTGACGTTTGAATTGTTTGTGAAGATTAACGTCAATATCCGCGGCCGATGAATTAGCTCTGTTTCAATTTAATTTTGGTGTGAGATTGTCTAGCATTAAGCTGTATGTTATCCGTGTTCCAATAAAGCCCACTTAAAGAAGAATTGCTTCAACTTAAGTTTTTCCAAATGGCATTCGATGCACTCCACTTGGCAGGTGTTTGCCCAGAGCAGTTGAGATCGGCGCAGAGCGGACAGCAGGGACCACGATGAGACGATCGACTAATGATGGAAAAGTATTTGGAATGCGTGTACAACACTTGTCGGCATGACTGTGACCAAATGAAGGCGCAATGACAAGTTCCCTGCCCATGCGGCCCCTTTAGACCGTACGTTCTCTTCCTCTCGAGCTGCTGTTGCCGCTGCTGCTTCTGCTTCTTTTGGTGTCCGGCTACCAGTAGAAATCTTTGTTTTGCGATAAGAATTAATAAGAATTTTACAAGTTTGCTGTGAATGTGCGTTATTTTTAAATCTAACCCAATACTGGACTGGAGGGGGACAGGACACACCCGACCCGTCTTGGGGCTGGGGCTGGGGCTGGGGTTGGCCGTTGAATGCTATTAACTGGAAATCGCACTTGCGCGTATTTCTTCATTTTCTTAAGGAAATTTCGTGCCATATTTAGAGGCGGTGAGCGGGACCGGATCCGGGTCTCTGTCCCATGCATGCCAGCAATAAGTTATGAAAATTGCAACAGCAGCAGCAGCAGCTCAGGGGAAATGCCAGAGAAGAGCTGCCAGAGCAGCAGTGCAGTTGCAGTTGTGGTGGCTGTTGCAGCCGCCTGTCGCCGCCGATGATGAATTCCACAAATGCATGGAACAGCCAGTTGGCTAGGCCGCCAGGTTGCCAGCAGGCAGCAGGCGGCAGATTCCTTGAAAAACAAAGCCTGGCTGGCCCATACAATATATCGTGTGGCTAATAAATACGCCGCGCATTGCTAGTTGCTCTTAATGAAATTAACTTCCAGGAATTACCTACATGGCTGCAACGACGCAGACGACAACGGCCACGACGGCCATGAAGACTTCAGAGGCTGTCGCCTCGTCTGGCCGGACAACAATGGCCAGCAGCCCAGGGGCAACAATGGCAGCTTAAGCAAATTCAACGGGCAAATGCCATTGGCCATGGAAATTAAATGGAAGCCTGCAAAAAGTTTCCCTAGACTCGACTAGTTAATAGAGCCGTAGCCCCCAACTGACCAGACCCAGACCAGGCCTTGGGTGTTAAACCCAAGGGCCGTGGCATCGCCAAGAGCTCCCCATCTTCAGTTCCGCCGCAACTCAAGTGTGACATTCATGGAAAAGGTTGAATATGACTTTACAGCCGAAAACAGAACTTTTGTCCGTGTCACGTACGCCTATCGAGGAGAACGTGGAGCGTGTCCAACGGAGTCGGAGGGGATCGACGGGGATCGGAGGAGTCATAGGGAGTGCTGTGCTGGCCGATGACTTCCTCGTTCAAAGCCAATTAAAGACGTAAAGACGTTGTCGCAGTCGCTGCCGTCGTGGATGCTGCTGAAATCATTTGTAATGCAACGTTTGGAATAATTCACGCGCAAATTGCTCGCGACTCGCGAAAAATATTGCAACATTCCACTGCAAATTTTACGATTATGCGTTTGCCACAGCAGCAAATGCCCGCTGCCGACTCAGATGGCTGCAAGTTGCAACACGAAAAGAAACACGGCCAGCCGCCACATTCGTTCGTAGGCGCTCACATCAAATCAAATCAAATTGAAACGAAGCTGCGGCAACTCCGTACTGCTGCCATGCCATGCGATCGAGGCATTCGTTGTCGGGCTGTGTGCTCCAGATAGATAAATCAGTCGGCTAATTGTTGCAACTTGACCAGGCTCATTTCGTTGATGTTGCTGGCCAACGAGACAACTGGAGGAGACATAGACGGAGCCTGAGTGCCTGCATGGGAGCGTGAACTCTGTTCAAAAAGGACACTTGCAGCAGATGGATGCTTCCCATCAGAGTCAAGTGTATAACTTGGTCGAATCCATTTGAATTCCTAATCGAATTATGTATCGAATGGTTGTATGTATTTCCCAGCATAATCAATCGTGAGGTATGACGTTTTTATGCAAAGATATTCTTTGATCCAAGCTGTACATCGGAACGTCCCATACCCATACTCGGATTGGAGCTTGGACATTTTAATTCCGTAAATAATGACAGTCTGTCTCTAAACAGACAGTCCGAGTCATCCCACTCTTTAAGGCCTATAAGAATTCATTTATTTCTGGTCGGATACCCAGTACTTATGTACTGTGGGGGCATACTCGTGTTTCATGTTGCTGAATATTGTCGGCAGTTAAAAATAAGATTCTGATTTGTATGGAATTAAATAGAAACAAAACGGGTATCAAAGTAGTCGATAGACTCGAAACTAAAATTGTCTCTGTCTCTCTCTCGCTGTCGACTACTCGTTGTCAGTTGTGGACCACAGCGACCAATCAGTGTCAGCTGGAAGTGTATTTTTTAGTGGTCCAAGTGATGAGCTAATCAACCTGACCTGGCACGGCCCCGACTCCCAGTCAGAGTCAGAGTTAGAGTCAGAGTCGCACACTGCCGGTGGTAGTGTGTGGTGTGTCTATGTTAATAACATTATTTATGTATCTTGTATTTCAGTTTATTTCGGTTGTTTGTTTCTGCTGTTCTTTGTGTGTTTGGCTTTGTTTGGTTTGGTTGACTTCACAGGAATTGGAATTGGAATTGGAATTGGGAATGAAGCGAAACAAAACTTGAACAGAAATGGGCGCAGAAGTACGTAAGAGTGTCTATCTGGATATACTCGTATAGGGTTTCCCCTCCATTTTGTGTGTGTTTTAGGTGTCAATCGCATTAGACGGAAATCAGTTTTGTTTTTTATTGTACAAATTTATCGCGTTTCGTGTCTCATTTGGATTTAGTTTCTTTTCTCTGTTTCCCCACATAATGTGTGGCTCTTTAGTGGACTCTTCCCACTCTGCTGGTTGATTTTTATGTTGAATTAAACATTTTAAATTGGCCACGAGATAATTTGTTATACTCTCTATGCGATATGAGCGGGGCTCTGGTGTTAGTGGTGCTGTGTGGTCCCTCCGATCGGAGCAGGCATCAAATAAATTATAAGCCCATTTAAATTAAATTGAAAAAGCTGTGCTTTGCTTTGCTTGGCTTCGCATCGCATCGCTTCGATTCGAGCTCGTTGTCTCAGTCTGGGTTTTGTCTGGGTTTCGGGGGCAGCCTGGAACAGCGTCCCAGCTGCAGTGGCAGAACTGGTTGACCATAACAATAAAATAAGCAACACTCGCGACATTCTCCGCCGCCAAATATGGAATTTATAATTAATTTTTATGTTCAGGGGATGCAATTAGGAGCCAGCGGGCAGGGACAGGGCAGGACAAGTCAAGGCCTGGCGCAGGCACAGAAACAGGGGGTTCGCAAGAGGGGAGACGAGCGATGGGAGGAACTCCTCGGCTGCAACGATTTGTGGACAGGAGGCCAGATGCAAATGAAATCAAGTCATGCCTATAATCGGATTTGTTGCTTCTCGTATATTAACTTGTCACAATTTCTATGTGTGGAACATAAACACAATTTGTGCTTAATCCAACAGAAGGGGAGACTGACTCTGACTCCAGCAGTCCAGCAGTCCAGAGTCGGGCACAGGGGCTCACAGCCGGACCTGGACCTGGACCATCAGCCACAGCCACAGCTACAGCTAAAGCCACTGTCGGCACTGTCGCTATCAATTATTACATTTTGTTGCTGTTTTGTCACTTGTGCCACCGCTGCCGGCTACTGCCCCCAGCTGATGCGCTGATGTGGATCAAATTTCGCTGACCACAGGCAGAAGACAGGCGAAGCTGTAGCCGGGGTACGTTTTGGTTGCAATCAATCAATCAATCAATCATCTTTCCGCTCAATTCAAAGCTCAAGCGTTTTGCGGTTGTGGCATGCCATTCCGTTTGCCCCACTGTGTGCAGCTGTGTGTGCGCCACATAAACTCCTTCCCCTATCCAGATCGGGGCTCTGACTCCAGCTCCCACCAGTCCGGCACCCACAATCCGGTGCAGCTGCGTTTCGTTTGGAACGCTTTGAACGGTTCAGGGTGGGGCCGGGCCAGGCTGGGCCGCACGATCCCGATCCCGATCCGCCGCAAATTAGGCGCGAAAATATGCAGCAAAGTGAGACAAACAAGCGCGAGTCGAGAGCTGCTAAGAAACGGAGAACTAAAAGCTAAAAACTTGCCGCTGGTCAGTTAATGGTGTTAAAATTTGGTACCGCGATTGCATCTATGGCTATACAAATTGCCACAGCAACAAAATCACTCGAACAACATGGCAGTGGCAACAACTGCAATAGCAACTGCAACAGCAAGAGCAACTGCAACGGCAACGGCAACAGCAACTGGGGAGCAAGAGGTAACAACATGAGCCACAACATCCAGCCAGACGAGGAGTCGTTTTGTCAACACGGAGCATGCTTAGCCGCGTTTCCCAGGGGACACTTAACGCGGCTGCTTAACGTCTAAATCTGTCGTCAAGGCGCGCTCAAAAGGCTAAAATGTGTTTGCTGAAGACGGACACAAAGACGAAGACGAAGACGGAGACGAAGGCCTCGACTTGGCTCCACCAAGTGGCCAAGAGACGAGGCAACAATTTGTATGCAACTTTATGTTTACTCGCCTTACCCTAACCGAGTGACCGCCGACTATGGCAAGGTGCTCGCACACTCTCGGATAGGGCTCCTGCTCCTACTGCCGTGGATGCCCCAAGGGTATCCAGAGTTTGCGAAGGTTCTCCCTCCTGGTTTTTGCCGCCTTGTTGAATGCCCTCTTGAGATTTCCAGTACCCTCCTTGTTGGTCTCTTGGCTCTTGGTCGCCTTTTTGCCTGTAGTGCAGTGCGTTGAACGAGTTCAAGTCGAAGCTGTGGCAAAATTTATGAACCGCAGAGCAAGAGCAGAGCAAGATTCGGAGTCGGAGTCGGAGTTGGGGCATGCTTTCGCATGTAAACATTTTCCATTGCGGCTGTTTGCAGCAGAGCAGAAGAGCGAAGGCAGAAGGAAAGAATTTATATGCAACATAATCAGCATAAATGCCTCATGCGCCATCA